TTTTAAAAATCGAAATACAATGTATTATAATTGTTAATAATAATAAGAATAATAATTATAATAATAATTAAGAGGGTTTAGAATAAGATAAAAATATTTCATGAGCACTGTATATAGCTGAAGCATTAGTAAATGATCTATTTTGTCAATAAAAGCAAATATTTACTATTTAAAAGCTTTTTATAAATAGTGTTTTAATGAAAAGCGATGTATTTGGACAAAGAAACAGCCAGAAAGGAAAAACAAACCCGGGAAAAAGGGGTTTTTACAGTTACAACTAAGTTACTGTCAAAAACTGAGAAGACAAATGCTATAAATGAAGCAAAAGTATCCATATATTATACATTTACTGTTTCACCAGTGGTGTTTTTAATTGGTATATAAAGGTATGTTTTCGGATTCCCTTTAGCCTTTTGCTTCGTCTGTCAGTCTTGAGGACGCATGTTTGGTGGAAACACTCACCTCTACTAAATTGTGAGCTGGACATTGCAGAAGCGACGTTTCCTTCGTGCATTGTTGTACATTTGGCGTGGACACTGTGTGATTATTCACGGAGGAAGAGGCGAGTCTGGATCCCTCCGCGGCTACTGGAAGAAGCTGCAGTCACGTGGCCGCAAACGTCAACGACGAAATGGCAGCCTCCTGTTTTGTAAATTAACACAAGGTCCGAGCTGCTAAGAAAAGCGCTTCGAGTTTTAACCCGAGAAACGCATTTCCGACGCGAAACCACCGGGTGCGTATCCAGCGGTTCACCGGCTGCATGTTGGGGGGACTTTGACGGTAGCTAGCGGCGCTTTTTAGCTGGGGAGGGGGGAAGAGAGAGCTAACGTCTCGTCTCCCGGCGGCACAGAGCGAGTGCAAGGGGGGGGATGTTGACTGTTTTCAAATGAGGGGAACGCTCGGTCAGCCCACGCCTGTGTCTGTGGAGAACAGTCCGTTCGTTAAAGTGCGAGAAAACGGCCTACCTTAACCCGCAGCGGAGGCTAATTCGTTAGCAACTTTACTAATATCCCACCGGCGTGCTACCACACCCACTACTAAATGCAACGGCGACACACTGAATTAGTTATTGTGTGCTCTGGTTGGCCTGTTGATTAAAGTGATGCCTGAATAGAAAAAAAAAAACCCAAAACACAGGGTCTGTAGATTTTTCTCACAATATTAGCAACAATAGTTTGATTTTATTGTGGCTAATCAGCTAGCTCTAAGTGCTACATTGTGGTTGAGTGCAACTGATTCATCTAATGCCAACTTGTAAACAACAATCGCATGCGGAGCGTTCAGCCAATAGGAGAGCTCATCGATGTGTAGTACTGCAAAGTGATTGGTCGGTGAGGGGAAGTTTTTTTACAGCGGTGTTATGCAGCCCTACAGGGGATGTGGATAGTGATAGTGAATCCACCACTGCACAATTTCCTCCTGGCCTTTCTCTTAGGAGGTTATTGCAGTAGAAATGGGTCACGCTAATGCCGGTTCTAACCAGCTTGGCTTCTCTTTTAATATTTAACCCTGACTGCTGTGACAATTGCTTAATCAGCACATTGCAGCAGGTTAGAGATGCAGGTGTGGACTGTGACTTTGATCTCCACGTAAATAGCCAGGTACAGTCACTGTCCACCTCCAGTCACCTGAAGTCACCATGGCTTCCCAAAATTCAGGTAATCTGTAAATTGTTAGTCTGCGTTTTGAAATATCAGTGGATGACAGCATGTCTGAATGCTTTTTGATTTAACAGGTATGCTGTCAGTGTTTGGAATTTGTGTTTTTGGAGTTTAAATAGATACTGAGCTGTGCTGCTGTCTGCTGTTGCAATCAGCGGTGTTTATCTTAGCTTTTCAGTTTCTCCTG